AGCTCAAAAGCTACAAAAGAAAGAAAAAATTAATAATTAGCTTTTCTTCTAAATTCTATAACTTTGCAAAGAAAGGTCATGTAGAGCTCAGAGATGTGTTATTTTAATCAGAAATTTGCACTCTAAAGTCATGTCTTGTTAAGAAAGGTTTTGGTTATTTTTTAGAGTTTCTGAAAAACAGGTTTTTCAGAAGGCTGGATCTTCGAAGATCTATGGGAAGCCTCCATGATCATATTCGGCATCAGCATGCTCGATAACCTATAACCCCTATAATATTTTGGTTTAAGACCTTCAGGTTTAACTAGAGGCAAGAAAGGGTTAAGAAGAGTAGGTAGTGAAATAACTGATGAGAGGAGGACCAGTGTTGAGCTACCTGCCGTTTCTCTCAAGTAGATCGACAATAAGGTGAGTGAACCAGTAATGACACGATGTAAAATTATGTTCAAATCATGGTCGCCGATTTTAAGAAGAGTCAACGATTGAAGTCTAGTGAATTGGTCCGGTTCGCAATCGTATAGAGTTTTGTGCAGACATTGCGAAGTGAAAGAAGAATTGTCTGTACATCAAGGCTGTCAAGAATACGATGGAGAAGTTTCACGGGTAGTGTATGAAGCGATGAAGTACTTTTGGTAGACATGAGACTTTTTGTTACAGTGTATGTCGTTTGAAGTGTGGATGCATCAAAATTGTCCGCTGTTGTGCAATTTTGTGTTGCAGCAAAAATGAAGTCAAGCGTGATCGTGATTCGTACCCATGTCATATGTATCTTGTATTCTACACACGCACTAAGATAAGATAAGATTTATTTTACTAAAGACCAGGATATCACAAAAAAAGAACAAAATCTTGTGGCATTCGCGGACATCCTGTGATAACCTAAAACTAAAAATTTAAAAATATAAGTAAACAAAATAACATTATTAAAAGCCTGTGTACCTCTCAGCATATTTTTAAATGTGGCTAAAGAAGTTAGTTCGTTGCTAAAACAAAAGGTAGTTCATTCCAATCTTCGGAGGTTCGCGGAAGAAAAGAGCTAGATGCAGATTTTGACATTGAACGAGGAATAAACACGCGCCTATCATGGCCTGCCTAATCGAGAACTTTGACGTGTTGTTGACTGTAAAGTCAGATAAAAAGAGGAGAGAGGACTTTTATGATAGAAAATTTTATAGAAATAGAGAAGGCGATAATATAGACGTTTGTTTGAAATTGTTTGAATTTTAAATTGTTTGAGTAGAAAAAAAGAACTACTAAAATCTTGAAGAAATGATCCTACTGGCAAGGCGCTGAATTTTACCCAAAATTTCAAGATGAGAAGTAAAAGTGGAATCGTAGATAACAGAACCGTATTCAAGCCCATATTTAAAATATAAAAATATATTGTCGCAATCTTTGCAGGATTTCAGCGCGATCCCGTCAAAAACTTTTCGCGTCAAGGCTGTCAAATTTTCGTTATACGGCAAAAATAGCAAGATTAGCTACGTCGCGGTAGCGATCCGCGTTAAGTTTCAAATTTCTTGTCAAAATCGTGGCAAGATGAGGTTGTATTCTTGCCGCGAAATGAAGCGGGAATGCTACTAGGGTATCTACCTACAGTATTAAGAAAGAAAAAATATTACAAAAGAAACATAACTACGTTTTGCGTTCTTACAGGTTATCTTGACTCGTTTTATGGAAACGACTAGCATATTCATTTCAAACAAGTAATACAAGTTTTTACACCTGTATTTGATTTTAATAAGTCAGTTAGGCGCCTCTCGTGGAGTTTTTTGAAATTTTATTACTATAGAAGATTCAGCTTCGTAATATTCATGTGTTCAACATTTTCGTAATCAGCGGATCAAAGTGCGTATAGAGAAGTGTATTTCGAGCTTCCAGAGCTACGAGAAGTGTTCGACCTTTAGTCAAACTTTAGAAGGCTTTGATTTCGACAACCTCCGATTGCAAATCTATCAGTGACCTCATATCGAACGATAGAACCTTCATTTTTAAGCCATTCGAACCGCCTTGGAACATAGAATAAAGTTGCAGAATTAGTTTTTAATTTCTTTTTTCTTTTTTGAAATATTCTTTTTTCTTTGAAAATGACATGTTTTCACCTATAATCAACCAAGTGATTTTTTTTCTAATTTTTCATTTCTCACCCGATATCCTTCAAATTAGCAGATCATAGGTAGAAAACCATGCCGAATCCAATGGAAACATTTTCAAGGTATGCAGACGGTTCCTAGAAGGTCTCTGGAAAACTTGAGAATGAATTATTTCGAAATTTCAAGTATTTTTCTGAGAATAACAACATTTTTCTTTTATTTCAAAATATAAACTATATGCAATTGACAAAAAAAACCTAGGAAACTAGAACTACTTGATTTTACTGGAAATAAAGAGAAAGAACAACTACAAAAAATAAAATTTACTTGACTAAATTACTGTTCACAATTTTTTGATGAGAAATAATCTTGTCTTACATAAACTTGAACAGAACATTTGCAACACTTCTTTATAATCTTTGCCACCATTGTAAGCCATTAACGTTCTCCAAAATCTTCGGCATAATTTAAGATAAATTTGACGATCTTTAAAATTTTGTCTTGCATAATTAATCAATAATACCATTTTGTTAAATGTTTGATCATTGTGTTTTCTAACAACTTGCTTCATATGACACCAGTACCTCTCGATCGGATTAAGTTCACAATGATATTTTGGTCCATATAATACTTTGATTCCATATTCCATTCCTAATTTTTCTAATTTTGTAACATTTTTAAATGCTGGATGTTGACTAATCAATTCTTTCAATTGTTGAAGTTTGCAACCTAATACTATTAATTCCAAATAATCCATGTGATTTTCCTTTGTCTGGACCATTTGTATAATAACAATTAATTTTTTGTTGTGTATTTGTTTGATCCAAATATTCAATTGATTGTACGGGACATCGGGTGTCAGTTTCATTCCAAAATCGTTAATCGAATATTCTTTGCTTGTATGAGTTCCTACATTGTCTATCAATACTTCAATTATATGATTTTTGTAATCAGATTTGAATTGTAATAATTGTAATAAATGTTTAAATTGTTGGAGCATTAATTCGTTGTCCGTATATAAATCATCTCCAATATTGATTGATGCAGATGCCGAATATTTTTCAGATGCAATATCAGATATTACATGTACACATATGTACATATTCAACAATACATATTTATCAGAAGATTCAGATATTTCATATCTCACTTCTGATAAATTTGGATATTGTTGAATCGCTTGAGTCCATTCATTTATATCTAATCGGAGATGACGGATGAAGAAGCAAAGAATCTGATAACATGTGGCTGCTACCACGACCCTTACTAAAAAATGGTGCTGAAGCGTCAATCGCCCATCTACGCAGATCGACCTCATCACTACGAAACGTGGACTCATCATGACCTAGAAAAATTTAAAAAAAGGAGAGAAAGAAATAGTAGTTATATAAAAAAACCCTACTACTTCGACAATCATGCCACCTTTACACGGTGAAGTGGATAAGTATCCTGTTCAGCAAAATGATTCATTACCCAACAGGAGAAACTAAGAGGATGATTTTAGCATACATGATCAATTTCGTGACTTCGTTAGTCGTGATCTCATTCTAATTTCAATTTTTCCTAAAATGCTTTTAGCTATCGCTAACGCTCACTCATCCATACAAGGTGTATAATGGGATTTATGCGCAGTCGAAATAGAAGATGGTAAGCCAATGCTGTACTCTATAATTGATATTATTCTTTTATTACTTGTCTCCTTACATGATATAATATTTGTTGAGAAAAGGATCTCGTGGGACAAAAAGAAGTGATTGAAGAACGTAATATCGTCTTTGGTGATTGACAAAATCTTGAAAATCTTTTGTCTATTAACTTTTGCGATTAGATCGTATGTCACCACTCAGTTTTCCGATATTTCAATATAAGGTTTTAGTGAAATCTGGAATTTTTCTTCAAATATCTACATAAAATGTGAACAAATCAGCTATACTGGGTAAATAATGAAATTTTCAGATCAACAATTCGTCGTCTTCTCGACAAGGTTGGAACGTGCAAGGTTTTGACAACTTCATGTTTAAACCTTAGTGACAATCATGAGCGCTTAAAAAAGTTAAACACCAACGAATGTTTTTCTGCTTCTTCAACGTTTCATGTACGGTTCATGTTGTAGCCATATGTTCCCGGTTGATGAAGTATCATAAATGGGTGATACGAAAGGTCGCTCTAAGAGTGCTGTGCCATTCTTTTCTTTTGATCCTGTTTGACTATGACAGTGACATCTGTTCTTCGGCTACAGAAGAAAACATAGAGAAACTGCTAGTAATAAGCGCCTTGTCCTCGATGGTGCACAGCTTATTATTATTGTAAAATATGTTTCGATGAAGCTAAACCCAAAGATGAGACACAAACAGCGCCAGATTTTGAGATAAAAGTTACAAAATACAAGAAAGATGTTTCGACAACCAATCATGCTAATCATTTGGTTAGTAAACATGATGTAGTTAAATAAGAAGTTATCAAACAAACACAAGAGAAATTAGACTTTTATTTCGGTCAATCGTTCGCTTCGTCGACGATAACAATCAAAAAGAATATAGATAGTTGCCAAAGTTTCATCAAAAACTCTGGAGGATCTTTAGGAGGACTCATTCAAATACCGCAATTTGATGGAATTTTGTTGAGGACGCCAAAGATAGCCCATTCAATTTTGTGTTGAATGAGGTGTTCGGCAGCTCTCCTTACTGAGATAAGGGGCTTTTATTAATGTCTTGCAGCAGGTTGACTTGAGACAGCCTTTTTGCACAGGCTTCTGATGAAAGTCGCCTATCACAGCAAGAAACGTCATGGAGAGCTGTTGAACGCCTCATTCAACTCAGAATTGAATGGGCTATCTTTGGCGTTCTCAACAAAATTCCATCAAATTGTGGTATTTGAATGAGTCCTCCTAAAGATCCTACAGAGTTTTTGATGAAACTTTGGCAACTATCTACATTTGTTCAAGTTTTCAAGCGCTATCGACGGGTATAGATTTTAGCATGTTCCTAGGTCTGTCTATTCATGAATTAAGAAAAGATGAAATTTAAAATTTTTAATTTTTAATTTTAAGGGGGGGGTCCCCCCATTTAGATTTTTCTCTAGCGTTCCCAGTTTGTAGAGGATACTTCGAAGTATATGTCCTGAAGTTTTTTCGGCTTACTGACGTTATTTGGCTGAGAAAAAAATTAATTA